TTCTTTACCCATCTTTCTCCCTTAAGATTTTTTTTCATCTTTATTGAAATATAATGGACAATTAATTGCTTGTATTTACATTGTACAATTAAATGGGTTTTATTCCACTTACAATTGACATACAATAATATACCAGTTTCAGTTGTATAGCATAGTGATCAGAGATCCACATAATTCGCAAAGTAATCACCCCAATAAATCTAGTAACCCTCCTTCCCCTTACATATTTATTACATTATTGACCATCCTCCCCATGCTACACTCTACATCTCCATGTCTATTCTGCAACTATTTGTACCTCTTAATCTCTTTGCCTGTTTTTGTCCCCCAAGCCCCTTCTCATCTAGTATTCCACTAAATATTCTCTGTATCTATGAGTTTGTCTGCTTTTCTTGTTGTTGTTGTCAACTTTGTTCTTTAGATTCCACATGTACATGAAATCATGTGATATGTGTCTTTTTCTATCCAACCCATTTCATTCAGCACAATATCCTCTAGGTCCATTAAGGCAATATCTTGTTCCATCCCCTTCCTTTTAGTCTGTGTGTATCTTTTAATCTGAAGTGAGTCTCTTGTAGGCAGCATATGCAAGGGTACTGTTTCCTTATCCATTCAGCCACTCTATCGTTTGATTGGAGCACTTAATTCTTTTCCATTTGAGGTTCTTGTTGATAGGAATATAATTATTACCATTCTTTATTCATGGATTTGATACATGTTTTTTCTTCTTAAAGAAGTCCCTCCAACACTTCCTGTAATACTGGCTTGGTGGTGATAAATTCCTTTAGCTTATTTTTGTCTGGGAAGCTCTGAATCCGTCCTTCAACTCTAAATGATAGTTTTGCTTGATAAAGTATTCTTGGTTGTAGATCCTGGGTCTTCACCCTGTCAAATATTTTTTGCCAAACCCTTCTGTCCTGCATAGTTTGTTTTGAGAAATCAGCTGCCAGTCTTATGGGTGCTCCCTTGTAGGTAACTAACTGCTTTTCTCTTGCTGCTTTTAAGATTCTCTCTTTGTATTTAACCTTAAGCATTTTCATTATGATGTGTCTTCGTGTGGGCCTCTTTGAGTTCCTTGTTTTAGGGACTCTCTGAGCTTCCTGGGGATGTATGTCTATTTCCTTCACTAGATTAGAGAAGTTTTCCATCATTATTTCTTCAAATAGCTCATCAATGTCCTGTTTTTTTTTTCCAGTACCCCTATGACACGGATGTTTTTACCTTTAATAGTGTCCCATAAGCTCATTAAATTATTATTATAGTCTTGGCTTTTTTTTCTCACCATTCTGACTGAGTGTCCTTGGTTTTCCCATCCTGTATATAGGTCATTTGATCTTCTTCTTTATTCACTCTGTTTCTTCCATTTAATATACTTCTCATCTCAGGTAATGTGTTCTTCATTTCTGACTGGTTCCCTTGTATAATTTCTATTTCCATTTTTATGTTTTTCATCTCTTTGTAGAAGTTCTCACTGAATTTATCTACGCTTCCTATAAGTTTGTCGAGCATCTTTATAACCAGTGTTTTGAACTCTACATCTGATAGATTGCTTGACACCATTATTTCTGAATCTCTGTTCTGTTCTCTTATATTATTTCTGCTTCTTTGTCTTCCCATTTTGGCTGCCTTTCCGTGTCTGTTTCTAGGTACTAAGCAAAGCTCCTGAGTCTCCCAGTCTTATTAATGCAACTTTGTATTGTAGGTGTCCAGTGGCACAGTCCTGAGAGTGGTTCGGCTGTAGGCCAAATGTAGCCCCAGCCTGTGCCACTCTGGGGCACCTTTTAAGATTCAGCAAGTAATCCACAGATGCTGTGCTTATAGTTGCCTCAAAAGGCCACATCAGAAACTGAGGCCAGCTGCCACCATTGTGAGTCTAGGCACTGCTCTGCAAGAGGCACCTGACTAAGCGAGGACACACCTGGATGTGGGTTGCGTGGGGCCGCAAATTGGGGAAGGCGCAGTTTCAGGGAATCCTCTGTGCAGAGTGACCTCTGTAATCCAGTTTGATGACGTCTCTATGATGGCGCTGCCACCTCTGCACACTGGGAGTGGGAAGGGCTCAAGAGAGGAACAATGGATACCTCCAGCACTTCTGTATACAGCGAGTCTCGCCTAGGCCCTCCCACAACAATGTCTCCCTGTAAGTCCTGGTGCCTCCTGCATGCAGCCAAATGGGCACTAGTGCGCAGAGCGAGCAGGTCCATCACCACAAAAATTTGCTCGCAGACACGGACCCTTTCAGAGGCGTCTGCTGCTGCCACAGCCTCCATCTCAGCCTCTCCAGACCGCCCTACCTTCTGCCATTGCAGGATACTTTCTTGGATTTCTGCTTATTTATAGCTTGTTCATCTAGATCATAGGCGATTTTTCCTTGCTGCTGCTCCTTGTTTCCGTCACAACTTTGATTTGGTCACCGGAGAGATGAACAGAGCTTCTATCATCCACGCCATTTTTTCCCCCCAAACTGAATTTTTTTTAATGTGAATCAAAAGTAAGAATATTGAAAACATACATAAACATAATTTGTTACTTTCTGTCTGCATAATCAATTGCTGTATAACAAATTACCCCAAAACTTATCATCTTAAAATAACACATGTATTATCTCATAGTGTCCATAAAATAGGAATCAGGGCCCTCAAGCCCAGCATCTCTGAATGGCTATAGTCAAAATGTTGACCAGAGCCACATTCACCTCCATGTTTAATTTGTAAATTTAGTGTAATCCCAATTTTTAAAAACTCTCAAAAGAATTTTTTATGGAATTTAATGAACCATCAAGTTCAAATAGAAGAGAAAGTACGTGAAAAGAGCCCATAAGTTTTTTTTAAAGAACAATAAAGAGAAACTACCAAGTTTTTTAAAAGAAACTACCAAGTTTTTTTTTAAAAAACTACCATTTTTTTTAAAAGAACAATGTAGAGAAACTACCAAGAGTCAAAACATATGATAAAACTGTGGTAATTAAAACAGTGAGGTATTAACTCAGAAACAGATAAATTAATGTATATATATAAAGAATACCAAGCCAGGAACAGAATCATTTTTATGTGGAAATGTTGTTTATGATAAAGTGACATTTTACATCTTAGAAGAATGAACCACTAAATAAATTGTATTGGGACAACTGACTAATAAATAATAAACAAATAAATAACATTATATCTCTGTTTATATGCCCTTATTTCAGTCTTCTTTATACTGCAAGCAATCGAAGACCTAGCCCAAACTGCCTTACACAACAAAGGACTCATTTAACTGCAAGACCCAGAGACAGAGCAGACTGCAGGGTGGCTTTGATTTAGCGGCTCAATACTGACATGAAAGACACTGAAGAGTTTATTTGATTTCTTTCTTTTTTTTTTTTCTGCCTCTGAGTTCTGACTTCTACAATGTCAGCTTCATCCTATGGTTGAATGGCTGCCGAAGTGCTAAGCTTTAAATCTGTACATTGAACTGCCCAAAAGGAGATAAAGCATTGTCTTTCGGTAGCTCCCTTAAAAGAGAAACTGCCTCTCCCAGAGTGCTCCCATAACCACCCTTCTTGTCACTGGCTCAAGCTTTCAGCTTGGCCGTTCCTCAGCAACAATGATGGGGTTACACCTGAATAAATGATAAGTGTGGAAGATGGATGAGAATTCCTTGTTTGGTCTAAAATAGCAGGACCCTCTCTCTGAGAGCTAGGGACAGTGTCAATTTCCACAATGACAACACCAAAAGAAAGAAATATCTATTACACAAAAGAGAAAAGAAACAGCTTCAATGTCTGCTCTGATGATATATTAGAATAAATTCCAAATGACTTAAAGAATCAAACAGTTAAAAACAGACAAACAGAATGCTCTATACTCAAGGAAGCAGAGCAGAAATGCCCCACACCTTAAGTGTGAAAATGGAGGGAAAAGAATAACTTTTCAGTAGAGAAACATGACCTGAGCTAGGTGACCAAGGTCAACATCAATAGTGATATCTGTTGAATGTACCCTTGATATGATGTGATGAGAAGGGTACATTACCTCTGTGATCTACCTCCTCAAAACACAAAACCTTGATCTCATTGTAAGCAAAATATCAGACAAATCCCAGTTGAAGGATATTCTACAAATATCCTAACCAGCGTTCCTCAAAACTGTCAAGAAAACCATCAAAAACAAGTAAAGTCTAAGAAACTGTCACAGAACTGACAAGGCTAAAGAAACATAAGGGCTAAATGTAATAAGGTATTCAAAATATAATGGGAGTCCTGGTACAGAAAAAGGACATGAGGTAGAAACTTAAGGAAATATGAATAAAGTATAGACTTCAGTTAATAATAGTATCAATAATGGCTCATTAGCTATGAAATGTACCATGCTAATAGAAGACATTAATTACAGGGAGACTGAGTTTGGGGTATATGGGAATACTCTGTACTACCTTCACAACTTTTTTGTAAATCTAAAACAATTATAAAATTAAAAGTTTATTTTAAAAAATTAAACACATAAAGACATCCAAGATATGTTTTAGAAGCGAGTATAAGATAATATTTTTATAATCATGAAATAGAAGATCTGCTAAGCAAAATGCAAAATTCAAAAAGCAGAAAGGAAAAAGCTGAACAGATTTGACTACATAAGAAGTAAAACTTTCTTAAGACAATAACCAAAGTTAATAGATACCCAACAATGAAAATGAAAGTATCTGTAACATATATTAAATGAAGGATTCATATCTATAATACATAGAGAGAGAAAGAAACTAATTAGGAAAAGACAGTCCAAATAAACAAATAGGTAAAACATCTAAACTGACAAAATTACAGAAGAAATTCAAATGATTAGTAAACATGAAAAAATTCTCAACTTCACCAATAATCAGGAAAATGCAGATAAAGCAACAACAATGTTTTTAAGTTGTCAGTTTGGAAAAGGGAAGACAGCTATAGAGCATATGACTGACATTGAAAGCAACTTCTGTTTATCAATATTAAAAGTGAAAAATTAAAATGTGTAGTTTCTAGCTTTGCTCAGTGGCAGTATCATAGCCAATGAGGTTTATCCGAGGTGCCATTATTGCCAATTGAAAACTAAAACGTGTAGTTTCTCAGACTTCAGGAAGCCTATGAAAGACAATCTGTAAATTGTGCTGTAAAGCTTAATACAGAACTTAGTGAGGTAGAATGAAATAATTTCTACCTTTGTTTAGGAGAATATCTTATAAGCTTTTTTGGGTTGGGTTGGTGGCACCCAAAGGTTTGTTCTAAAATGAGACAATATATAAGTAAAACTGGAATCAGATGGAAATGTTTGTAAATTCCAAATGTCTTTGGACTCTAGGAAATTCAGTGAAGCACTAAAATAGAAACAGAATTATGTTTCTATACCCTTGAAAGTATCCAGGAAGACACTAAATGGCCTTAAGGCTAGGCATATTTTTAAACTTATGCTAAATTCCTAATCTTTCCTTAAAAATCAAATAATGATAATTAGTAACTAGTTAATGTATATTCTAAGTTTAAGAAGTGGTTATTTTAATAGAAAAAAATATATAGTTGTGCAAAAGTTTAGGCTAGAAGTAAGCCTTTGTTATTCACAGCTAGAGAAAGCCTAGCTTTTTGCATGCAGCCATGGCCAAGTTCCACCATTTACCTGAGGTACCAAATCCTAGGCATGGTGCATAGGACGAAATAAATAGCCTTGTACGTTTTAGCTTATAATGTCATGGCAAGCATCAAATATGGATAGGATTAATTTAAATTTTCTCCACAAATATAAAAATATATTTATGCCCCTTCAAGCTTCAAAAGACAATATTAATATTACTAAAATAAAATGCTAATGTCTTATAACAGGAATTCACTAACCCATACAATTATATAGATTCAGATTATAAACAGATTTAAGAAGGGTTTGATTATTGCTGTCATCATATTTATCTCTAGTATTATCACAGACCATGGGTCTATCACAAGCTCTTTTACATTAAGGAGAAGGAAATTCCAAATATGTTGAAAGCGTCATAATGGAGAATAATCACTTTTCCTCCATTTTACTCTTGAAGACTTCTTCTCCGTGATTAGTATCATCATTCTTAGCATCACTATCATCATTGTCAACACTTACTGAACACTCTCTCTGTGCTAACAGCTTTATATTAATTTTCTTAGTTTTAAATATCAGATTTTTTAAAAAATAAAAATAACTCTGGATGCTGTTATCCATTTATACAGTAATGGCAATTATAAAGCAAGATTTTTTGAGAATAGAATACAGAACATAAAGAGAATTAAAGGGAAGGTGACATGAAAGGTGGAAAACAAAAACTAATTTTTCTTTCTTCATAATTTTGCTTAAGATGAGAACTACATATATGCATAATGCCAGGATGAACCCAAGATGTTTGTTACATTACATTTTTAATTGGCTCCTTTTTATAAATGCCTCAAGGATAGTCATCAGAGAGCCCATTGAATACAATTTCTAACAAGTGCAGAACACTTTGCTAAGTGCTATGAATAATATTTTTTAATTAGAAAAGTAGTCTTCGGTTAAGAAAAATGAGAGGGGTAGCTCCATAGTGTAGTGGTTAGCACGTCTGCTTTACACGACCACCCCGCCTGCATGCCCCGCCTGCATGCCCCGCCTGCATGCCCCGCCCTCCAGCTCTTAAGGGGAAACAGCAATATCCATAGGTCAGAGGTGGAAGTGGGGAGAATGAAAGAAAAAATTAATGGGAAATATAGAAAGTGGAAAGATAGGTAAGAGAAAGTAGTATCACCAGGTATGTATTTAAAACACAATTAATTTTAAACATTTTGATTAAACTTCTAATTAAATCTTGTGATTTGCAAGTAACATTTTATCATGAGCATTTTCATGTTACTAAACAGTCTTTGTAATCTTCCTTGCAATTGCCGTACAGAGCTTAATAATAATTTACTTGCTCTATTTTTAAAATTTAGGTTGTATCCAGTTTTTAACTATTATGTTTAATGTTACAGTGCATATATTTGTTAGAATTTATTTTGTGTTTTAGAATTATTTTCTGGGACAATGTTAATCAACAAAATTAATGGGACAAGAAACATAAGCAGTTTAAGGCTTTCGGCATATTACTGTCAAAAATCACTTTCCGAAAGATATTCTTATATACTCATTTGGAAATATAAATTATTAAAGACTTTTTGGGGAGTAATTTTATAGTATCTTTTGAAATAAAAATGCGTATACACTTTGAACCAACAATCTCATGTCAAGAAATATTTCTAACAAAAATAGTTACACCTATATTCAAATATGGATGTACAAGGGGTTTGTTTTAGCATTGTTTGAATTAGGAAAAAGGGAAATAAGCTAAGGGGAAATAGTCAAATAAATTGCGTTATGGCCATATTATGGGAAGTATAAAGCTGCGAAGAAAAGTTATTTGGCTCTACATTTATTGACATAGAAAGCTCTCTTAGGAAGTTAAGTGAAGAACAAAAGCTAATAGGTGAACAATCATAAAGAATGATTTCATTTATAAAAAAATAAGTAATCGTTTGTTTGAAGAGGCATTCCAGAATCAATAATGATTGATGGTTGCACATTATGAATGTATTTAATTCCACTCAATTGTACACTTAAAATGATTAGATGGTAAATGTTATGTTATATCTATTTTACCCCAATTAAGAAGAATCATTAGAGGTTACAGACCTGTAGTTGAGAGTGCTAGTTGTCACACCAAAGCCATTTCCCCCTTTCCATAGTCATAGAATACCAAATTTAGATGGCTGCATTTCCTAGCCTCCTTTGCCCTTAGAATTGGCGATGTGACTAATTTCTGGCCAATAAGGTGTAAATGGAAGTGTTTGTGGCACTTCCTGGGAATCTTCCTTAAGAAACAACTGATACATTTCATTGGCTAATTCTCGATAGCTTAAAACAGCAATTATTTATTCTCATGGATCTCTGGGGCAGCTGGGGTAGCTGTGCTCTACATTCATTCACCCTGGGGCCCAGGATGAAAGGGCAGTAGGTCACTAGGAGAAGTCTTCTTGGAAGCAACAGTCACTCAAGAGGGCAAGCAGAGCTGTGGAGGCTCCTTAACGCCTAGACTTGTTACTCCTACCTACATGCCACTGACCAAACCAAGTCACAAGGCCAAGTCCAAAGCCAAGAGGCAGGGAAGTATCCTGTATACATGATAAGGCCATGTCAAGGATATGATTGTGGGAATAGGCTGGGGGAGTAAAGCAGTTAGACTCTATAATACACAATTTGCTTAAAGATATTAATTGTCCAAGATTCCATAGCTAGAATGTGTCAGAGCCAGGAATTCAAACCTCAGTTACTAGATCCAAAACTCATGTCCTTTTCATCTAACCACTATGCATTTTTATATCTTTAATTCTGATAAGATAAACTATTCCTCATTACTCACTTTTTTTCATCTTTTCATTGCTATTCTAATGAGTTTATTATTTCAAGTGAACTTTAGAATGATTTTGTCAGATTCCAAAAAATCAAACAAATAAGAAAACAAACTCAATTAAAAAGAGGTAGGATATCTGAATAGACATTTTTCCAAATAAAACTCACAGGTACATGAAAAGGTTATCAACATCATTCATCATCAGAGAAATGAAAAATCAAAACCACACTAAAAGATCACCTCATATCTGTTAGAATGGCTATTATCAAAAAGACACAAGTGTTTGTGAGGATGTGGAGAAAAGGGAGCCCTTGTACACTGTTGGTGGGAATGTAAACCGGTGCAGCCACTATTGAAAACAGTATGGAGATTCATCAAAAAATTAAAAATAGAACTACCATATTATCCAATAATTCCACCTCTGGATATTTATGCAAAGGAAATAAAAACACTAACTCGAAAAGATATATGTAGTCCTATGCCTATGTTCATTGCAGCAATATATATCTATATCTCTATACCTATATCTATATATCTACATATCTGTATCTATATATCTATATATTTATATATCTATATATCTATAAATCTATATATCTATATATATAAAAGAAAGAAATATATTGTCATTTGCAACAACATAGATGGACCTTGAGGGCAGTAGCCTAACTGAAATAAGTCAGAGAAAGAGAATACTACATGATCTTATTTATATGTAGACTATAAAAACAAAAAAATAAGAAACCCAGACTCGTAGATACAGACAGCAGATTGGCGATTGCCAGAGGCGGGAAGGTGGAGGGTGGGCGCAATTGGCGAAGGAGGTCAAAAGGTACAAACTTCATAAAATAAATAAGTCATAGGGATGTAATGTGCAGCATGGTGACTATAGTTAATAATACCGTATTGGATATTTGAAAGCTGCTAAGAGAGTGGGTCTTAAAAGTTCTCATCAGAAGAAAAAAATATAAGCATGTATGTTAACTAGAATTATTGTAGTGATCATTTCACAATATATACAAATATCAAATTGTAGACCTGAAGCTAATATGTTATATATAGATTATATCTCAGTTTAAAAAAAGAAGAAAACCTACGGCCATGCCACCCTGAACAAGCCTGATCCCATTTGATCTCGGAAGCTAACCAGGGTTGGGCCTGGTTAGTACTTGGATGGGAGACCACCTAGGAAGACCAGGTGCTGTAGGCATAAAAAATAAAAAATAAAGGATTGTAAGATGACAAGGTCTTTGCAATCTGTGAGGTCAACCAAAGGTTGCCTCGCCTAAAAAAAATTTTTAATAATGAAATAAAATAAATAAAAATAAAAAAGAAGACAAACTAATAACAAATAAGAAAAAGAACTGAAAATAAACTTATAAATTAATTTGAGAAGGGCTGACATCTTTAAAATGGTTGGTTTTCTCTAAAATGAATATGGTGCAAATATTATTATCAATTTTATTTATGTAAGCTGATCTTGTTATACACAATCCTTTTGTGTCTCCTAGGTATTCGATCATTTCATCTGCAATATTAATAATATAGCCACTTTCTAACAGTTACAATTCTTATTTCTGTTTTCTGCTTTTTTATGTTGGATAAAATTTCCAGAAGAAAATCATTAGAGACAAAAGGTGTAATAATGACACTTAAAAATTTTTTTAAATCACAGTAGAGAAGTGCTCTTCTATACTTTTAAAAAGTTTCTTTTCCTTAAAGAAATTAATATCAGAT